GCTGCCTCCCTGCTGCTCCTTGGGAATCTTAGGCACAAAATCTCTGCTCCAAATCCCTTTGGAAACAGCTTTCCTTGCACCAGGAGATGTGTCTGCTGCGGTGCCACCACTCGCTGGGACAAGGATTTCCTCCCACTGCACAGCAGAGCCCAGGAAGGGAACCTCACCTCTGCTTTATTACCTGTTCACCTGATTTTCACAGAATATTCTGAGTTGGAAAGGACCCACAAGGATCTTCAGCTCTTCGGTGAATGGCCCATACAAGGATTGAATCCACAACTCTGGCATTATTCACACCAGGCTCTGGCCAGCTGAGCTCCTCTCAGTTTGGTGTTCAGACCTCAGTGGAAGAAACACAACACAGCCAAACCCAAACCAGTATCCCTGAACAGTGTGCTTTTCCTGAAGTGGAAGTTGAGGGATTTTCATTCTCACCAAAAGGGTATTTTTGGACAAAACCAATTCGAGAAAAATCCTAGCTTTTTCTGCAGGGTGCAGGAGACACCTGTCCCTCAGTCCTGTGTGCTCAGGGAGGATTGGTGTAGTGTTGCAATAGAGTTGCAACAATAAAGAGATGAGTTCTCGGCTTTTGTAGTGCTGGAACAATAAGAAAGGGTGTTATTTGGGTGGTAACTATATATTTAATACTTCTGAAAAAGCAGGAGGATTTATTTTCTGTGTCAGCTCCCATCTACAATTGAGGCATGGTGTGGAAAGGAGGGACTAGAATAGCTGTCCCGGTGCCCGGGTGGCTCCTGCGGGGCTGTCCCGGCTGAGCCCAGCGCTGGAGCGATGGAGGCGGCGCCGTGCCCGTGAGGGTTGAGCCCGCTGCTGCCGGGATGTCCCGGTCAAAGCTATTTATCTCATCTCTTCGTTACTTTCAAGAGTCGGACTGTATCTAACAAAACCGGGCAAACTTAAACTGGAGGCATAGAATGAAGCGATTACACACTTCGCGTTCATACACCCCTTTATAATGGGGTTAAAACAAGAATTAACTGTTTGGGGGTTTTATTATTGCTTTCTAGTTATTTGTCGTTATAATCCTGGTCGTTTAGGGGTTTGGTGGTTTTTTTGAGTTGTTTGTGTGTGTGTGGTTTTCGGTTTTTAAGGGGATTTTGTGTGCGTGTTTGGGGGGGGGTTAGCTGGGTTTTAAGATTAACTCCGGCTGGTCCCCCGGTTGTTCCCGGGCGGCGCTGGGCCCTTCCCGGGATCAGGTAACGCTGAGCTGCGCCGCTCCAGGGGCTGTGCCGGCATGCAGGGAGTGTTCCCGGTCACGGCAATTGGGCTGCGCTCCCTGCCCGCAGTGCCCTCGGCCCGGACCTTTGGACCTGCTCTGCCACATAAAACCGGGGAGTCACCGGCAGTCCAAGCGGGCGTGAAAAATGGCTCCTCAAAGCCGGATTGCTTTGCTTTGCTCCTTGCTCTGTAGTGTTGCATTCCTCTGGTGTGGAGCGGAAGGTGAGATGCACGGTCTCTTGTTACTGCTGTTGAGGAAGTTGATTCTCAAAGTGTGATTTTCCAAAGGCAGTAAATCTCTTAGGCTTTGGTAACAATCTGCAAAAGTATCTTAGTGACGCAAAGATTACTGGCTTTGTGAGATGAAACCATTTCTGAGATGATTTTATGAAAAGAAGGCTTTCTATCTTCTCTAAAAGGCAGAAAGCAAAAACATTTCTGAATTATCTAAAGTACATATTTTAAAGATTTTGTTGAATGATAAGTTTAGGAAATGTTAATGGTTTTACTGTTTGCTCTGAAATTTGCTTTTTAGCTTCATGCACAGTGACCAAACTCTGTTCTACCTAGTCCCAGGTGCCACTGGCAGAGCAGATACTGGAGGGTTTGGCAGGGCGTGTCTGTCATTGCACAGAAGCAAAATGAAAACTGAACAAAACTGAAAGGACTAAGCTGAAATTTTCTAAAGTAAACAGTTAAAACACATAATTGAAAAGTCTGTCTGATAATTGTAAAGATGCGATTTATTTTTTTTTTTTTATATCTTATGTGTTTCTTAGGACAGAGTGGTGCTGAGCCAGAAGTGACTCTTGCGCTCGGACGGCTCAAAGGGAAGCAAACAAATGTGAAGGGGACAGACAAACTTGTAAATGCATTCCTTGGAATTCCTTTTGCAAAAGCCCCCGTTGGAGCCTTGAGGTTTTCCCCACCTGAACCACCTGAGCCCTGGAATGGTGTGAGAGATGCCACGTCTTACCCACCCCTGTGAGAGCCATTCAGACCCTTTGTATGCAGGCCCTGCTCGTGGGGGTCGGTGGGGTTGTGTTTATTGGGGTACAGATTGTTGGGAAGGAGCTGGTAGTGGATGCACTGCCGGTACTGGAGTATTTCAAGCCCAAGTCCTGCTTTTCCAGGCTGCACCCCTTGCTGTGGATAAGTAACACAAAGTTCAAGCACCCCATCGGGATTCAGCCTGTGGGGCAGAAGAGTGTTCTCTCTGTTGGAATTACACTGAGGCTGTTGCAGTTTCATCATTAATAATGGTGCTTCCTTTCTTTTGTGAAGGTGTCCTCAAGATCTGTCCTTGTTGAAAATAGCTGAAAGAAACTTCAAAGAAAAACACATTTCCTTCCGAACTTCTGAGGACTGTTTGTATCTCAGTGTTTACAGCCCTGCTGGTTCCAGCAAGAAGGACAAGTTACCTGTAAGTAAACCCATGGTACAAGCTTGTGTAGTACAAAGTTTGCACCTTATGATTGCCCCTAAGAGTCTGAATTGCTTTTGAAAATGTGATGCTGCACTAGCAGAAATAATATTAGTAAATGTAAAATTCAAAGCCCACCAACCTAAAATTCAGCTGCCATCGTGTTTTGGTGCTTTGGAGTTCTTCATTATCTGATGGTGTTTTCCTTTTTGAAATGTGCAAACCAGTGTATGAAAGTGTGTCTCACCCTTTTTTATTCCTAAGGTAATGGTGTGGATCCATGGAGGCAATTTTATATTTGGTGGTGCATCTAGGTATGATGGTTCAGCACTGTCAGCCTACGAGAATGTTGTGGTAGTAATAATTCAGTACAGACTTGGACTCCTTGGATACTTCAAGTAAGTTCCTCTATTTCACTTTTTACAAAGTACTTCCTGTCATGTTTAAAGCATGGGTAGTTTTGTTTGCTACATAAGCTGAACTTCTCTACCAGCTTCCCACTGTTACACTGGTTTCAGTTTACGTAATTCACTGACATCGGGACTTGAGAGCCTTAAGAAATGTCTGTAAATCCCATTTGCATTGTCATTTCATTGCAGCCTGCTATCAAATCATAGTCTCAAACACTACCCAAATCTGTACTCCTAAGTGAGACACTTCAGTGCATCTTATCTTTTATCCACTGTAATGGTTTCTAGTGAATATTTGTAATGTTGTGCCTTTGGTGCCTCTCAGCTTTGTTCTCAAAACCTCGAATTTCTGCTAAGCATGTCTCCATCTGTTTAACACAAAATAAGTAATGGCTTGATCAAAGACAAGTAACTGGGGAAACACAGGAAATGGAATTGTTTCTCGTGCACATGCAGCACCTGATGATCTCTTTCTGTCATGACCTCTTTTAGTAACTAAAGTAACAGCCACCCATTTTCTATGCAGAAACTTAACCATTAACCTTCACTGGACTCCTTACTGTAGTTTCTTCCTGTGGCTCAAGTGAATTTTGCTCGGTGTGTAGGCTAGTTTTGGTGTAAGCAGTTTGCTAACATCTCCTGGGAGATTAATGTGCTTTACGTGTTTTAACCTTATTTCACTCTGTGCCCTGCAGTGCTCACTGAGAACTCCTGCTAGGGCTAGTGTGGGTACAGAGGGAGAGCAAGATTCTGGGAGAGAGTGAGAGCTACACCAGCCAGAAATCACAGGACAGGGGGCTGCTGCCTCTTCTTCTATAATAGCCAAATGCTTTTCTTTCAGTACTGGGGATGAACACGCT